ACGGTACAGAACCATCACCAGGCCCTAACACCTCGTCGTCAGACGCGTCGAGATCCTCAAGCAGCTGAGCAGTCACAGTGCGGGCGGTCGCAGCAGATCTCCGGATAGGGCGCCCAGATGGGGACGTCAACACGGCCGTGGTCACAGGGAGAGACGGTCTGAGGACACTCACGGCCGGAGTCACTAAGTCAGTCGGCGTGGTGGATACGCTCAGACCCCGAGAGGGCGACTGGGAGCGTCCAACCACCGTTAGCACGACGCTGAGTGGTGCGCTCGACTAGGGCAACCCAGCGGAGATGGGCGAAGTCGAGCCTGGGGCACACACGCTCGTAGCCGGGACAGGCAGTGAAGCCACGACATCGGATGAAGATATCGGCGGTGGGCGAATAGCCGCGACTGACGAAGTCACCGGAGGACCAGAAGACGAAGAACCCGCCGAAGTCGTCGAAGCAACTACAGGAACGGTGTCGGCGGGCGGCTCAGGCAACTCAAACTCAAACTCAGCTTCGCTCGAAGCGTCATCGTCGTCTTCAGAGCGAGCAGAGACAGCGGGCTGAGTAGCAGAACTCAGCAGAAGGTGACGAACCTTCTTCCGCCGAGTCCGACGACGGGACTTTCCAGAGCGAGGCCTTCTTCCATCGGATACAGTAGCTTGAGGTGAACTTGAGTGCAAAAGGGTACTGATAGCCTCGTGTCCATCCTCTCCGGGGAGTGGACAAGCGTACGGTTGAGGGGGATGCGGCGCCGGTGCACGATGACGAGGACCTGCAGCAGTGGGAGACTTGGAGTTGGCATAGCGCCGAAGCCGCTGAGTCGAGGTCAAGTTTGCCAAAGGCGTACGGTGAAGCTGAGCAAGAGTCGGCTCAGCCTGGGTTGTTACCGCCGCTGAGCTGACTGGAGCCGCAGCCGAGTCTGCCAATGAAGTCGCCGAAGACGCTTGACTAGCTGAGGGAACCACACTAGGACCAATAATGGAACTCGCCACTGGAGCATCTCGGCGAGGATGGACAATCAACTCCAACCGCCGAGTTTCACCAGCAGGGATGTTGAGAACCTCAGGAAAGCGAGACTCCAAGACACGACACAGCCGGGCGTTGAGGAGAAGGTCGGACGGATCAAGTCCAGGAACTTGCAAGCCACCGCCAGCAGCAGCAGCAGCCATGTGAGGATCGTGCATCGGAATAATACCATTCCGACGGATGAGCCGCTTCTGTCGCAAGATCACAGCCCGCTGCTCAGCGATCACCGACTGAGCGTGCCGCAAGGGTTGAGTACCGGTGGAACTGTACAACCGCACCGACTCCTGCAGCTGTTCGAAGTGCTTGGAAGCAATGCCCTGAAGAGTGATGAACGCCGCATCCCTCTCAGAAATGGATCGGAGAAGGACGTCGATCTCGGCGTCCCGATCCAAGACTTGCTGATGGTAGAGCTGGGCCTGACCCAACGCAGCGTCAACCTTGCTCTGCTCAGCTGCGATGGCCCGAGCAAGTTTTGCCTCACTCAGAGCTACAGCCTTTCGCAGCGACGCGAGGAGATTAGCCGATTCCGGGGCAGCAGCCTCCAATCGAGACACTTGCTGTTGAGCCGACGAGAGCTGAGTTGACAAGTCAACATTGCTGAGAGCAAGCGAGTCCAGTCGCCGAGTCAGTGCGCGGTTCTCCTCCTGAGCAGCTTGATTGTCAGCTTGGAGATCGCCGATGATCTTTGGATAATCAAGAGCGGCGTAGTTGCCTTTCAAGGTATCCAACAGTACCCCCGCGGAAGCAGCATGCAAAATCGCTCGCCGCTGCACGGGATCGGAGGGCTCCACGGAACGAGTAAATCCGTAAGCCATGAGCCTCGCCAAGAAGGTCAATTCTTCTCGGCGATCATGCCCTTGCTCGTTAATTCTGGCCATAAGGGAGTCAAGACTCACTGGAGCAGCCGAGCTTGGCTGATTGGTGGCGCCCGAAGTGGTGTCGCCCGGCAAGCTCGGTGGACCAGGAAGGCGCACGCGAGAAGACTCTGCCGACTCCGCGTCAGACTCATGGGAAGTTGTCAGGTCAACCAGCCCAGCTTCATGCCGGTCGCTGACCCCACGAGTACCGACGGGTCGAGGAATCGACTCAGCTGGCACGCCTTCACCTCGACGAGGAGTTGGAGAAGAAGGATGGTGCCACGGGTTGTGCTGGAACAACATGCGAAGAGTAAGGAGCTGCCAAGTGAGTGACAGCGGAAGCAACGAACGTACCAAAGAAGGTGGTGGGGAGCCGCGAGACGTCATCAGCCGAGTACGGACCAACGGTGGCAGAACAAAATGAAGGATTAAGACACTCACCAGCTCGGCTCGTATCATAACCGGGGCAGTTGTGGTGTAGGGATTTCCAGATTCGACCATACGCCGACCTACTTTAGGTCAAGAAATCGGCTCGGTCTGATAACCCAGAGCTTAGGAGCCAAGGATCACGGTAAGTACTCGGCGATCTGTCCGGATATGCTATCCGGACAGCCGCTGAGCTCAACGGTCGCCGGAACTCAGCTGAAGGGTCGGTAGAGATCCGAAACGACTACATTTAATTAGATATTTGTATGAGAAGCATAGGATTAAATAGGGGGGGC